GTCTAAAATAAAGAAAACTTAAAAGACTATTCTACCCTTAATAAATAATAAAAACAAACTAATCATATATTTCTTAACAGTTTCTTCCATGAAAGCTCCAAAAAATCTTACCAAGATCAGTATATATTTCTCTCCAGTCATAAAATGTTGCAAGAGATTTTGGAGCTGTTTGCAATTTGCACGCCTCAGTTTTTCTATTCAGAAAGGTAATTGTTACCTAGACTAGTGAATAATCATCACGGCCTGCATGATGCGCTTTTTCCCAATTAAGTTGAAGGTCTTGAATACGCAGTCAAGCTTCCATTATTATCTATGCATCATAGCACTTCAGCTTCATATTCTTGGAAGGGAAAAAGCCATTTCTTAATCAGCAGGCCGAGTTCCCATTTGGTAGTTCAATATTGCAAGCTTTTGATCTATTAGTTGAAGGCACTTTTAAATCTTGTTGCAAGAATGTCATGTTAAAAACGTCACACAACTTGGCGACATAAATGTTGAGGATCAAATGAGTGATAAGGAGATCATAAAATCTTGGAACGATAAGATTGTCAAATTCAAACCAAAGGAAAAATGCAAAATTGTTATTTTTATTTGATGGTTATCTATTTTTTGGATAAACACTAGTTACAATAATAATGAAGAATTGTTGAATTTATTTTATTATAAATAGAAATAAATGTGTGCTAGGTCCGTCAATAATGCTGTAATTAAGTCTTTTATTCATTTTAAAAGTTCCTTTTATATTTTCTTCTTGTTGTTGTCTTGTGTGCATATTATAACCTTATGTAGGTAGCATGTATGAGAACGGTAAACATGTGCGTGCACACGAACAATCTTCTAGTTTCCTATTAATTTGTTAACAATATCTGAAGATTAGACAACAAAAATTGGTCGATTGACAAAATATTGAGAGATAGGACAGACAATTGAGAAAACTCTAAGATGGACAACGTGGACCATTATCCTAGGACCCACAAAGAATGAACCTTGAATCTGAGCCATTGAAGTGTGAAAGGGTACTTTATCATGTGGGCATAAGAAAAATTTCAGTCACATGACAAAAGGAAATGTATATTTCAAGAACATGCAACTGTTACGACTTTATCTTCATGAAAGAGATGTTTGGATGATTTGATATAGAATTATGAGAAATTTCCACCTCGCCCATTTATGAAAATTATATGCGTCGAATCTTGGAATTCGATATGCATGTAAGAATGCATATTTAAGAAAACTAAGTGTTGACATACAAAAAATGAAGTCCAATTAAATGGTCCAAGAATTTGAGTTCAGTTAGGAAGTTCAAGATATAAGCTCAAATGAGACATTTGTAGAATATAGCGGAGACCCATAAACAGGGCCGGTCCTGTGATTTCCAGGGCCCGAGGCGAACTCCCAAAATTGGGCCCCTCATCCCAAGATCAACGTAAATGCAAAATTCAACAGTGCATTATGCAACATATTATGTAAGCCGACAAGGCTTCAAACATTTTCNATAATGATCATAAGATTTATATAGATTATAAAGTAACAAAACCGTCACGTAAAGTATTCAATACAGTGACTACGGGCGTCTGTGCAATTGATCCTACACGCTATAATTTAATATCATACAAGCCGACCAGGCCACAATTATATAAGCCGATAAGGTTTCAAACAATTTCAATATCAAATTAGAACAAGCCATTGTTTACTTGAAAAATAGAAAATCGACGAAAATTGTGGAATCACGCCCTATTCCAGCGTTGCATCGCAGTTATCATAAGCCTGAAATTGAATCATTCACAATCAAGCTATCTATAGACTATAGGTAAAGTCATACTTCAAACACAATATTCCTTCCTCGAAAGACAAGTAAAGACATCATGTTATCCACTTATCCTCATCAAGATTAATAATAATTAAAAGACAAATTGTCCAATTCAAAAGAGCATAGTAAATCCCCATTAAGATTCTTGTCATTTTCTAAAAGATTGACAACCTTATTAGCATCGTGTCCTCACGGAATTAATCCTTTCATTTCGACCTTGAATCGAATGAATGGATCAAACTCCCAGTCTCAGCATCCCTTTTGTCCAAAGACTTATTTACTAGTTCAACTTCCAACTTCCAATGGTTTTTGCTTCAGTAATCAGTATCACCCCAGAAAATTTCAGTTTCAAACCAGTTTTAAGTGATTCCTAGAGCCAAACATTTTCAGTTATTGTAATTCTAAATCCGATTAGCTGAGAGTAAATTGGACTCAATCGAAGTCAAAGCAGAAAATTGAATTTAATGGAGGTCTATTCTATTTCTATATAATCTAAATACACATGATGACCAGGCATTTTAAACTATACAGAGAGAAAAGCTACAAAATTAATAATCGAAAAAGCCTCAAAATTAAACGGCCACACACGGCCCAGACTTACCAGTCACCAGAATGGCAGAACTCCAGAACCAGAAGGTCCGCCGTCCAGAACAGAAGACGCAGTCACGCAAGTCGCAGGAGCCAAGATGCAGTCTCCGAGTTTCGCTCTCGCTTGGCTTCTCGCACTGTCGCACACTGTAGAAGTTAGGGAAAGTTTCGCCAGGGCCTAGACGGAAGTTAGGGAAAGTTTCGCGGCTGGATTAGAGAGTTGAACTTGGATAAATTGTTGAGAGACCGGAGACGAGTTGAGACTGTGACTGTGAGAGTTGGTTTGAGGCTTTGAGAGCGAGCTGGGAAGTGGGATTTTTGGGGGGAGAAGGAGACAGGCCAAAAAATAGGCCCCCTCCAGTTCTGGGCCCGAGGCGCTGGCCTCATCCGCCTCGGCCCAGAACCGGGCCTGCCCATAAACAAAATACTATCATCGCTCAAGCTTGCAGGACGCCCAGGATCTGAGCAAATGAAGTGCCTTACTGTCGTCCAGAGCGATGATCTCATTCTCGCCCAAGTTTTTGAGTCGCTCAAGATTTGAGCGAATATAGTGTCTTGTGGTAACTTAAAACGATAGTTATTGAAGCGATTATTGAACAACCTTATCACACCCCACGATCCAAAAATCCCTATTACAAGCGGTTAGATGACAAGAGTAATAATAACAGAAGTTCCTTGACAAGTCAGCCATCACGGAGAAAGCGTCAAACAGTTTTCAGGCAGTTCTACAGATAAAACCGTCAAATGAGTATAAAAAGAAAAAAAAGATATAGAAAAAAGACCCCCTGAATCAATCACTCTCAACAGAGAATATGTGATTTCAATGCATTTATTTTCTAAGTGCAAACTTTCAATTTACTTCGTGTGCTTGTACTCCTTGGAGGCGTTTTGTTTCTTCCCAATTGTAATTTTCATAAATAAAGCACTCATTTTTGGGACTTTGTCTCAAAGGGTTTGTTCCTTACACAATCGTCCGAACCTTTCTTTTAATTGTTAGCAATAACCTGTGTGAAACACTAAAAAATGTATACTCTTTCTAATAGTATAAACTTTTTTAGATGGAGTGATTCAACGTGATATTTAAGCATGGAGAGGCTTAGAATTCAAGTTTCACGGTCATTAATTTATTAAAAGGATAATTATATTGATATTCACATTTTTCTTTGGTTATACAACTTTTTAATTGCATTAAGAATCTTAATCTTTACTCATTATTGCACTTGTTTCCCTACTCAGGGGTCTAAATCTTTGCTTATTATTGCAGTTGTGTCCTTACATTTTTATTGTATTCTTATCTTAATTTTTTCATTAATTAATATATCTAGTCTATGATAATGGTTATGTCCAAATTTTTTGCTAGCAAATAAGGGATAAATTTTTTGTCACGCTTTTGTATTTGTTAATTTATTTTTGATCATTTAAAAATACAACAAGAAAGTAAGTCTTTTTACGCCCCCTTAACATAATGTTAAAATAGAAACCGTCATAAAGGACAACATGTGAAACATAATGAAGAGTCGATGATAAGAATGCTATGGAAAAAGTCGAGGACACAAGTAATACAATAATTAAAAGCTAAGGGACCTTTATACAGCTAAAGGTCATTGCACTTCAAAAGAAATTGTGGCGTCGAAATTGTCACCCTCAATTAAAGGTTGATAATAAGAATACGAGGGATTTTCTTATTTTTTTAAAACATAAGCACGACAATGAGTGAACATTAGAGACCTTTAATGTAATTAATTTATAGAGCAAAAATTTTAAATATGGTTTAACATAGCATCAAAAAGGAGGAGAATTTTCCCCATGCATCAAGACTTTTGATTAAGAAAGAATTTTATTTGCATTTGAAGATTAATTTGAAACAAATAAATGTATCCCGTTTCTAATAATTGAAGTAAGAAATACGCGATAGTTTAACATTATTAATAATAATGAATTTTCATGAATACACACGTTTTGATTTAGACGAGGAAAATTGTAATTATAATAACGGTCTTGCTACTTGTACATCACATTGTACATCGGGGTGTACACCCCCCTCACATGGGAGTGGGACCTGCCTAGATTAAAAAATAATTTATGCAATGGGTCCCACACCACATGTGAGAGTGATGTATTCCCTTATATACAATGTGTGATGTACAAGTAGTATTTTTCTTATAATAAATGGTGAGGCGGCAAAGGGATCCCACCTCCATGTGTGGTGACAGCTTACTATGCAATTATCCCATTTGGATTCAACCAATCACCCTTTACACCTAAGTGACACTCAATGCAACATCTCTTTCTATGTGAGTGTCTTGAGTTACGTTTTACCTTTGAAGAAATGATTGAATGGTCTTTATAACTTAATTGTAAATGATAGTCGAGATATAGTTAACTTCAATTCCTAATACTCGAAATCCAAAAAGAAAGAAGGAAAATACAGTACTTAGTAGATCGAACATAGTTATTCTATCTAAAAAAATGATTTTGCTGTAAATAACCAATTAACTTGTCCTACAAACATGTGGTTATTTGAGTTGTCTCACAAACATTACATGTAAACAAATGAATGAATTCCTGAAACTAACAAGAAGAAGAATTCCTCCCAAAAATCCTAATTCTTGCTAAAATGCGTTCTTGGGGTAGACCATGGAGTGCCATCAATATCTCCACCAAAATTCATAATTTCTTCACAACCCTCAGGCAAAACAGATTGAATTCTCAGAATAGGTTTCTTTGAAGGCAAAACTGGAATTGGGGATTCCCCTTTAAGCATTCTTGCAGCCTCTCTCATGACTGGCCTTTTCTCACAATTTGGATATGCACAAGAAAGCCCCACAATAAGTGTCCTCTCCATTTCCATCCTGTTAAAATGCCCCATGAGTTTAGGGTCAGCTGCCTCTAAAATCACCCCTTGTTCCCACAAATCCCACACATAATCAGTAATCACGAGTCTTTCTTCATCAACTGGCCTCCTCCCTGATGCCACTTCCAGCACCACCACCCCAAAGCTGTACACATCAGTTTTCACTGTCGGGACGCCCGAAAAAGCGTATTCCGGTGCCAAATAGCCCATTGTTCCGGCAGGGACAGTGGCGTCTCGTGTCCTAAAACTATGCCTATAAACTTCTGCTAACCCGAAATCGCCAAGTTTTGCATTGAACTCTGCATCGAGCAATATATTGCAAGTTTTGACATCTCTGTGGATTATCTGGCTTTCACATTCTTCATGTAAGTATATAAGAGCAGAAGCCACTCCACGAATTACATTCAATCTTCGTTCCCAGGTGAGAAACTTCGTTAAACTCGTCCGATTGTGGAGGATTTTGTCGAGGCTTCCATTCGCCATGAGCTCATAAACTAGAACTAGTTCATTCCTCTCACAGCACCACCCTTGTAACTGTACCAAGTTTTTGTGCTTCAAGCACCCCATCATTGTTGCCAACTCCGTGTTGAATGGAATGCGAGAAATCGAGGGATCAATTTTACTATTATCTTGAACGAACCTTTTTATTGCCACGGATCCACAAGAGGGAATTTTCCCTTCATATACAACTGCTGATGCTCCTTCACCTATAATCTTGTCCTGATTGAATCCATTGGTAGCTGATTTTATCTCAGTCAGAGATAACATTTGGGGAACCATCGTACCACGACGAAATCTACGCATTTGATGTTCACTACGTGCTCTTCGAATTCGTTTCCTTTTAATCAAACGTATACAACAAATCACAAGAAATGCAGCTAACAAGATCATGACTGCAGCCAATCCCCCAACAATAAGAGCCATATTTAGTATTCGTTTAGTTGATTGACTATAATCAAAGGTATTTATCTCCAAATTTGAATCCCCTGGAACACACATAAAACAATCCCCTTCTTCAACTGTATCCATAGGCATTGTAGAAGATAGAAACCCGAAAAACGTTTTAAATCGCCATCTATCAACCGTGTGAATAGCGGAGCCATTTCCATTAGAAGCAGAGAATCCAACATGCATAAACTCTTTGAATTGCTTGGAAAGGTCAATCTGAGCTTCAAGAACAGGACTAATAGGCCTAATCTGGTTCGAGTATCCGACCCACACACGGATCATCTTCTCCGAATCCCGGTATTCAATCCATGTAGTTATTTCTTTCCCTCCCCTAAGATTAATCCCTTTTGAAACAACATCAACAGAAGCCAATGATTTAACACTGTTAACATCAATGCCTATATGATTACTGTTAATATCCTCAAGAGAAGGATTAAAAGTTGTATCAAACTCAACAGCAACATAAGAATCTTGAAAATCTGCTGGAAGCCCCATATGACCATCAGAAAGACTGAAAGAACCTGTATTAGAAGTGATAAAAAATGCAAGACCCTCACCGGAAGGACAAGAAGGGGTGGATGTGATTGTGAAGGAAAATCTACAAGAGAAAGAGCCAGTGGCATTCGACGAAGGATCAAGAAATCGAATTGGGTTCACGTAGAAAGCTCTTCCGAGTCCAGAAAGAGAAGTGATTGAAGGAGGAGGAGAAGCTAACGCCACCGCCTGCGGCGAAGGCGGCGGCGTGCAGCTGTGTTCTTGAGTTAGGATTATAGTGTGGTTGTTCAAGAAAGCGTCACCAAAAAGGGTGACATTGTTACGGGGGAAGAAAGAAATGGAGAAAGATTGGGGAAAGATGAAGAAGAAGAACAGAGCCCAGAAGAATTTGAATGAAGATGGACACATTCTTGAAGTGTTTTGATTTATTGGATTGGATAGAAATCAAGATTTTTCAACCGATATGCTTGAAGGGTTCTTTGGGGGTTTTCATGGGTCGTCTAAAGCCAGATCTGGCACAATTTGTTCGTATTACTGAATATATAGCTATCTCTTTCTGCCCCTGAGCTGGGGTGAATATCTTGCCAGTCTCAGTCGTAGATGTGATTCAGATGGTGGCGGCAGAAATAATTGGAATTAGTCAAGAAAAAGAGGTAGACGTTTGAAAAGAAGAGTACGTTGAATAACAAAGAGACATCGAAAATTATGCCCTTGTTTGCCCCCATTATATCTTATTACATTATATTAAATTTTTTTCTTTCTTCATTTTAATCATACATTCATCAAATAAAATAATAATACACACAAATCTAAAACTTTTCAACCACACATCTCTCATCAATCACTATTCTAAAAATTTTCAACCCCCTAAAAATCTACAATAATGGGGGCCAAACAGGGGCTATATGACATCCACGAGACTATTTTGACATTTTCATTTCTCAATCATGTTTCAGATACTTGTTTTCCTTCGCTTTGGATAGGAACTGAACTGAAGGCAAAGCGTGTCGCTCCTAATAGAAATAAAGATACTATTATTTCGCTTTTTTGTTAGATTGTGAACGCAAATACAATAATTTCTAACTAGAATCAAGAACCAGTTCAAATTTGGATCTTACTGATTTGGATTTACATACCTCTTTTCCCTATACAATAAAAGAGACACTTTTGAAGTTACTGTTCACAATTTCGTCCTACCCAAACGACGTCGTTTTGGCATATCGTCAACCAAAACGATTCGTTTCGATACTGTATGGTTTTCCCTTTCATTTACCCTCACATTTTCTTCCAATCTCCCTCTCTCTCTTCGTCCGTCTCTTCCTCCCGTCTATCTCTCTCTTCTTTTCCGAGCCTCCAAGACCTACCCACAGCAAGCTAGAACCATCTGAGTTAACAAAGGGGGTAAACGAATGCCTATTTTGGAGGGGTCGATCCAAAAGACTGCGAAATTGGAGTTTTGCAAATATTTCTGAGCTTCTCTTGCGTACTTCTACTG